ATATCATGCGTGTGTATGTAGTCAACAACTACTTTAATTGCATTGTGCACATCATGCGTGTGTATGTAGTCAACAACTACTTTAATTGCATTGTGCGTATCATGCATGTGTATGTAGTCAACAACTACTTTAATTGCTTTGTGCATATTATGCTTTAAAGAATGGTTATGACACATTGTGCATAATGTACTTTATCTTTTATAAATTTTCAACAGTGATATGTCCTTTTTACTAATGTTAGAAACCACATGTGTAATATATTTACTGATTGATGTACTGCTTGTGGCGATTTTTAAAGGTTTTACCTTACTTTTGGTTGTCCAATCTTTGATATAAAATATACGAATGGAAACTGTTTTGTGTTTGGTTTCATTTGCTAATAGTAATACTCAAAAGTTTTTAGTTAAGAAAGTCAACAAACAAAGCATTACAGGGTTGTTTACTACAGTTATTTGTTCTCACAGAATGTATGTGTGTGTGTGATTGGTCGCCATATGAAATCCAAGGACTTGCGACAACACATTTAAAAAAAAAAAGCAGCATACTAGTTATGCATATTCTTATTTTCACCTAGAAGTACTAGTATAATAAAGAGAATAACTTGATGGTAGGTTGTACTCCACATAAGGAGGTTGGGGTTGAGGGGATTTGAAAATCCCCTTTTGGTCTAGATTAATCACTTGTTGTTTATCTAGCATTATCAAAAATATAGTATCATACTGATGGCATGGCCCGGTGGTTAGGATGCTCGACACTCAGTCTGAGGGTCAAGAGTTCGAATCCCCGTCACTATGCTCATCCTATGTGGTTGCCGACTGGGCCAGTCACCCGGATGTAAAAGTTATTGGTTTTAAAAAAGTACCAGCCGACCCCAAACTAGTTGGGATTAGAGTTGTAAAAGAAAAGATATAACGAACAGAATAATATACAAACATGTCCTCCTCCTTTCTTTATTTCTTTCATCTTTTTTTTTTCTTCTTTTATTGTACATTCAGAAACAAATGTTTCCATTGAGGCAAACTAATCATTATGGGAGTGTGCTTTTTTGACCGGAGTACATAAGTTCACGAAACAAAATCCTCTTTTGACCTTACTGGTGGAGAGGGAGGATCACAGTGATGATGAATAAATAACATACTACGAAGTACATTTGGATAAAATTAGTTATCAGAGATGAACTCCTCTGTATTGATCATAACCACTACTGCAAATTTAACACAAAAATATAAAACCCTATAACCCAAACACTTTTGACAAGTGGTCTTTTCTTCATCAGAAGCAAACTGGGAAGGGAACTGCTGTAGATTGTTTATTTGTTTTTAAAGAGAAGTGTCTTTCCTTTAAATGATCTGGCTGCTGTGTGTATTTCTAAGCTAAGTGATAATCAAAATGAGGATATGCATTTTCAAGCATCTTAAACTCACACACTATGTAGTTAACATTAGTGTGATAAGTTATAACTAGTAATATAGATATATTATGTACATAACAAATGTTAGTATTTTAATTTCTTTGTAATTCATGGCACAAACTTATGTGTGTATAGGACAAGTGGTTTGTTAAGGAACAAGTATTTTGTTGATGTTGAGAAGTCTTCACGAGTTGTACAGGATTGTAGTGAGATATTAGCTGTTAATTTATTTTGCAGGTTTAAATGTTTATCTAAATATTATTAAATATTAATTGTTGTTTTTTTTCCCACTTAGTCTCAGAATAAGAATGCATATAGTCTAGCACAGGATATATTGAAGAGGACATCAAGTACAATAGAACCTTACATTCAAGCAGTGAGTGTTTTGTTTCTCATACAAGCTAAAAATATCTCGTATTTGATGCTGATAAAAAGCTGATTATAAGTTTAGTTTTTGTGAATTTGGATATGTGATATATAATATTTTTTCTACCTGTTAACAGATATGTACATTCAGTGTAAACTTTACTCTCAACACATATTCCAGATTTTGTAATTCATAAATATTCAGGGCTTTCAACAAGACTTTGAATCTTTACTACAAGTTTAAAAGTGGAAATCACAATATATGTATAATTTCTTTGAATATACATGCATATTTATTTATATATATATATATAAAATCGTGAAAACTGTTATTAAGACTTACAGAAAAAAACAAACAAATTGTCAGTACAATTATATCCTGAAGAGTGACCTTTGAAGTCATGAAACTGGTAGAAGAAAGTAATAAAGTGTTTTTTTTATATATATGTGTGTATAAATAAATTATGGATTACAGTTTTACAAAGAGAGAAATATGGTTCCACAACAAACGTGTATTATTATTTATTCTATTTTATCAGTTCTTTAACAATGCCTTAATCCTTGGGAAAACGTCTCACAGTGAAGTAGCACATCATCTGTATAGTTTGATCTATGAACTGAATGCTATCTGTCCAACAATGTTAATAGCAGTTTTGCCACAACTAGAGTTCAAGCTCAAGGTACTGTAGAAGTTTCAAACTCTTGATTGATCTAAGTTTTTTCATTAACTTACATTCGTTTGAATCTTAATCTCTTGCACGGTAATCTTGTTATGTACTGTCAATGTAGAAAAAGTTAGTTCGGTGGTTCATTACAGTTAATCTATTTATTAACAATGGGTTTTCATATTAACTGGTAAAACTTCCAAGTTGATATTGAAGAAGTGAGCAAGCAGCTAAAAGATCAACTTGCTCACCTGTATTATACCACTATAGCACCCTCTGGTATCATCAGACTTGCTTTTTCTCATTGTCTGTATAATGTCAATAGGCAATTATGATGAACAGGAAGTGTCTGCTCATCATTTGGTAACTTCATTCCAATTTGTAAAAATAATTAAAAGATATTTATATTTTGCATGTGGAAAGAGCCTGGAATTTTGTGCTCCATGGCTGCTATGAACCATTTAGTGACTATGTTTCATAATATTTATAATTATTATTTGCCTGACAGTGAAGAAAGGGCTTTCACACATCATCTCTCAGTTACTCTTAATTAACAAATTGGATTGTTTGATTTTTTTTCTTCAACTTTTATGTTTTGTACTGATTTCGAACAATTATAAAAGTCTTATTTATATCAGCATAATATGCATAATTTATGTATATTTGAAATGCAGGTCCAGATAAATTAATTATGTAGTTATAAAGGTTGCACTAAAATGGAAGTTTCTGTTATGATTTACCGTTTTCAAATAATCTAAGATAAACTAAATGTATTTTATGGTTTATTTGAAGCTGTTTTCATCTGTACAAGATTTAAAGATGGAGTGGAGTAGGTGGTCTCTACCAAATGGTTTCAGAACATACTGTTTTCTTTTACTCACTTAAAGGATGATTATATTATGTTTCAACTGCTACTTGTCTGTTCTTTTAATACCCTAGGCTGATTGGCAATAATAAAAGTAAAGGTTATATGAATTGTTCTAACAAAGCAATCTTTATACAAACATTTACTCTCTCACTATGGGCTCAGTCCTAGAGACTGACCTTGTAACAGTTTTATGCTGGTTATAGTTTTCATGCTCTAACTTTTAATACCCTAGGCTGATTGGCAATAATAAAAGTAAAGGTTATATGAATTGTTCTAACAAAGCAATCTTTATACAAACATTTACTCTCTCACTATGGGCTCAGTCCTAGAGACTGACCTTGTAACAGTTTTATGCTGTTTATAGTTTCAAGCTCTAACTTTTAATACCCTAGGCTGATTGGCAATAATAAAAGTAAAGGTTATATGAATTGTTCTAACAAAGCAATCTTTATACAAACATTTACTCTCTCACTATGGGCTCAGTCCTA